GAGCATTTCTACATGCACAATGTGAAGGGAACTCAAGGGATTGGGACTGAACAGCTGTGTAGCCTTAAGAAAACCACTAATCAGTGAGGCTAACTGGAAAAACAGGCTACACTTTGCAAGGGAGCATAAAGATTGGACTCTGGAGCAATGGAAGTAGGCCATGTGGTCTGATGAGTCCAGATTTACCCTGTTCTAGAGTGATGGGTGCATCAGGGTAAGAAGAGAGGCAGGTGAAGTGATGCACCCATCATGCCTAGTGTCTAGTCATCAGTGCAAGATCTTGGTGAAAAATTAATGCAACACTGGATGAAATAGATCTTGTGACATTGCAGAAGTTTATCGAAACAACGCCACAGTGAATGCATGATGTAATCAAAGCTAAAGGCGGTCCAACAAAATATTAGTATGTGACCCTTTTTTTTTTGGTGGCAACTTTTTTTTTGGCCAGGCAGTGTACGTTTGCATGTTTTCTATATAGGGCCAGATGAATTTCTGGTAAATGTTATTTCTTTGCCTTCCAGTTAACTATACTGAAAATCAAAGTGGTCTGGAACAAACCACAGCTCTGTTGTTGGACAAATTACCACACAGAACAAGTTTAAGCATCCATATGTTGTTCCTGTGTGGGTTTAAAGCTCAGGAAACATCTGCTGTGGACTCTTTTAGCTGCAGAAGCAGATCTAAGTGTCTCCTCCGCCATTCCACTGAAAGACACCCACAGTCTCCACGGGCGAGAGTAGGAATAATTCACCAGAAGTGAAACACGAGACCCTCTCTGGTGCCACGACGCCTGTAGCTCTGACCAGCTGGAACAGTTTGTGACGGGAAACGTCGAGACTGAGCTTCCATGAAAATGTGCCAAAGATTCATTTCCAAAAGAGAGTCTTCAAGGCATGGCTTGCTGAGATAAACAAGTGAATGAGAAGCCAAGAAGTTAGAATATGTTTTTAATCTACAGTATATGAGATGGAGGGAAATGATGTTTGTTTTTTAATAAACTGAGCTCCTCATTAACTCTGCCTGTTCACGGCTGTTAGTGGGACTCGTAACAGAAGAATTTCCAAGAGATCCGTATGCTTGCATAATTTATACTGGTTATAAGAGTTTTATTTTAGAGGCGCAGAGCCAGAAAACCAAACGCGTCGTTCACTGACCTCATGCGGTGTTTCAGTTTGGTGCTCACAGCAGATCAGCGTTGTAGCACACCCAGCAGGGATGGGACGTCCAGTTCATATCAGGGAGAGAAAAGACGTCAAACACCACATTTGAGTTTAAATTTGGTGCATTTATGTGTCTTTCATACAAAGGCTTATCTGACAGACTCCCACTGGTTTAGTCCATGTCTGCAAACCAGTCGATGCAGGTGACTCATGATTTCTAAAACCTCTCAGTGCTGGGCTGATAGCAATTATGCAGAAGTGTCAATCAAATATTTCATGCAAATCTTGCTGCTTCAGTTCTGCCTTCATCAGTATGATGGACATACAGCTTTTTGGTAGCAGCAGTTATGACAAAAAGTTTTTACTCTTTGAGGTTTTGAACATCATTTAAATTTCTACACCATTTTATGTATTAATTTGAGGTATCCTTTATACAGTCCACAGTCAAACATGCAGCTGAAATCTTTTACCAATTACTTGTCAATTTTCTCTGCAGTGCTCTTTTAAATTTACAAAATTAACATACAGAGATGGATTCATTGCATATATATATAATATATATATATATATATATATATATATATATAATCAACAATAACAGTTTTAACACGTGCTCTGCTCTAATAGACTCAGTTCAAAGAGTAGTTCAAAGACTAATCAAAACGTGGGGAATCACAAGTGCACCTTCGTTCACTTTGCTCTGTATTTGTTTGAGTTGCCTTAGGAGACATGCTGAGTAGTCCTAGCTCATTGAAGCCCACTAAAATTTTGACAAATCCAAATTGAGGGAACGGAGCTAATTATTGATGTTTAGAGCACACAAGGTTTCTTTCATGTAATAACTTACTCGCTCAGAAACTTTGCGCAGACGCACTTCTCCTGAACTAGCGTTATGCTAACGCATTAGCTTTTACGCACGACAGCGTTCACTTAAGTACAGAACTCAAACGCTGGACAATGTTTCCGCTCGCACTAACATCAGTTTAACAAACAAACAAATAAATAAACAACAAAAAAAACTATATCGAACAAATAAAGTTAACGGTTTTACTAAAAAAGTTACTTTCCCCCCACGAACCAAAAGCCGGGTCACGGCTAGTTCAAAGACTACACAAAACGTGGGAACTTTCACACACATTCACTCAGACCATAAACAGTTCTGATTTGAGAACAGCAGGGCACAAGCACGTGACTGTCTGGGCAGTGGGGCGGCCAGCAGATTTCTAAGCGTGGCCCTACAACTTAAATAAAATAATCAAAAGCAGTCTGTAGTATTTTCTAGTTCATATCTTAGATCTTATTACTGTTTTTCTTTTACAGTTTATACTTTTGTCGATTGAGACCCAGTGTACACAATTTCGTTCCACCACATGTACCACATATGATGCGAATGACAATATAGAGACCTTGCACTTTACCTTGACGTCATTTAATACCAGTTTCCATATGGATCCAGTAGAAGTCTACTAAGCTCTGATTTCACCTCCTTCAAACTGGTCAGACTGTGAAGTAGCCAAGTGTCACATGATGTGTAGAGTTAATAATGGAAGGTGTTAGGAATGAGTTTCACGTTCAGCATGTTATTTTGTACAGATAAGACTGTACCACACAAACAAAGGTCAAACAATCCTCACATCAAACATGTTCTCTCAGGACGAAGTCCTAAAAGTTTAACGCAGTCAAACAAACAAGACCTTAGAGCTGCTTTTTTCCATCCAGATATCTCAATCTTTCTGTTTTCATTTGATGTAGTTCAGAGTGCAAACACCATTGATTCCTGCAGAATACACACCTTGTTTTGATCAGCCAGGACGTGACACAGATGTAGGATTAACTGCTCTACTAAAACTCCATTATGGCTCTCACTTTGCTCCGATCACTTGTATCAAAACTTATGAGTTCATCTCTGTTTTATTGTTTTATACAGTGCAGCATTCTAATTTTACTTACTGTAAATTAAAATAAATTAATGCTATAGGCGTCACTAACCACTGTTAGATTTTCTTGTTTTTTTTATTCGACTTGTGTGAAAGGTTATTTTGTTTTCACATTATTAAGTCACAAATTCAGCTTTATTGAAATGTGTCTTTTATAGTGTACACTCTCTAATTGTTGAGCAGTATTTTTTAAATTTATTAATAATAGATTTGTTCCCACTACTCATATTCCAAATAAATTCAAGTCTAATAAGTCCAGAGGCTGTACCACAAACTTTAGGGATTTTAAGACGCAACTCTCAGTGTAACTTTGAAATGCTTCATTAAGAAAACTAATTACATTTCAAAGTAATTTACCACAGGGCATTGATATAAATCACTCTTCAAAATAACTTTTATTCAACACAGATGAGTTCAGGTCGGCTCTAGTTGATCAGTTGGTTTGTTTAGAAAGTTTTAGGACGACAAAAAAAGTTGTTTCTATGCACAGTTAAGATGAAAAACTTAGTTTTCCAGGCATTTCTTAACGAACTGAAACAGTATTTAAAGAGCGGAAGCTTTAGAACTTAACGTTAGACTTTATCCAGCCTTAAAACATTCTCTCGTGACTGTCAAAAATAATAAAAGACACACAAGCTGTATAAACTTCACACATACAAACCTGGTAATGATTAAAAAAATATATGCACCGTTTTGCATTGTTGACTCGTGTTGACATATATAAAATGACGGGCTGAGTTATAGAAGCAACTCCGTTTTTTTAAAAGCCTTTTTTTTCCCACGACGACTGATTCAAGAATTGTACCACAAACTCTGCAGACAAAAGGCTAACACATGTCCCACATCACCCCCCTAAATCAAGGCAGGCCGCATTAGTTTCACATTTATTTATGATAAAAACCATAAATCTAAAGCTTAAAAATGTAAAACAGGTTTAAACAAACATAAAAATACAAGTCAAGAGCTTTAAATTCTCATTATGTCCCATTTGCTTTAAGACCAGCTGTATTTGGGTCAAAAATCCCCCAAAAATATCACTTTATTTTGTGCCAAGATGCAATACTTTGCCTCTTATTCTCGTTTAACTCGTTAAATCTTTTCTTAAACCTGCTCTTTTAGACATTCTTACAGCCTGTACATAGCATTAGTGTACCAGTGGAGACACAGGCTTGAGTTACTCAAGTTGTGAAATTCCATAAATAAGCTATAAACTTAGATAAAGTCCATTTATCACCAGTGTAGTCAAAACTAAAATCAAAATGGTAAAACTGTGGTTGTAGTTCCTCTTCTCTCCAGCAGATGTCCCCCTAATGTTTCTCTGACATGAGAAGACCCCCCCCAAAGAAGCACACAATACAGCCAACAAACCAAAACCTATATAGAACATATGATTGTCACTTACTGCGAGTCACAAACAAAAAAAGGTACATAAACTGCGAATAAATAATCTACAGAAATATTTACAATATGCACAACAAGAATTCAATGGAAGTGCAAATAAAGCTTTGGATCCCCGTACAGGTAATAAGGTAAGCAGGCGTGGTTTCCAACGTGAAGCATAAAAGTCTTCAGATTTACAGGACATTTAGTGACATTTAATGACTTTTACGTCAGAACGCAAAACAGACACGTTGAGTTATGTACACCGGAGCTCATTCCGTGGAAAACCGGAGAGCGTTTGATGCTCGTCGTCCAGTGAGGATCAAGGCAACAGCCAACGAGACGACAGGCAGCTGAGACGATGAGACGGGAAGAGAGGGGGATCCAGGAGAAGAAGGAACTTGTTGTGCTCCCGTCCACTTCTACAGCCAGGAAAACGGAGCTCTGTACAACTCCTGCTGCCTTTTTCCCCGTCTAGACCGTGAAGAAGGGGGTCAAAGGGGGGAGTGCGTTACCTGTCGGCTCCTGTCGGCTCGGTAACACTCAGTCATTTTAACATAATGCACCCATGTGAGCTGCAGTCCTTTGTACCGTCCCCACGCTCGTCCTTCCTGCAGGAGCTCCGCGTTACCCAGAGTTCAAGTACTCCAGAGCCACTTCGTAGCAGAACTTGTACTGGTCCTGGGAGAGGAGAGCAAAAACAAAAAAAAAATTGAAATCTTAGGTAAAATACAGAAATCACAATGTATGATTCTTTTTAAACAATTTATTTGTGTGGTACTGCTGCAAATAAGTGTTTGAACAAGTGCCAATCAGCAACAGTTCTGGCCCTCAAAGACCTGTTAGTCCACCTCCACTTATTCTTCTAAATTAGAAGCACCTGTTTGAGGTGGTTAGCTGCATAAAGACACCTGTCCACCCCACACAATCAGTAAGACTCCAACTACTAACATGGCTAAGACCAAAGAGCTGTCCAAAGACACCAGAGACAAAATTGTAGACCTCCACAAGGCTGGAAAGAGGTACGGGGCAATTGCCAAGCAGCTTGGTGAAAAAAGATCCAAGCACCAGCTCACAGGTCCCCCAGGGGTCCGCGGACTCCAGTTTGAGAACCCCTGAAATAAACGACTCGGCATTTAATAAAATCCTTGAATCTTAAAGAACTAAACTTTTTGTAGGAAGGATTAATGACAGACCTCACAGTTTTCAAGTTCACGTTAAAGGTGGAGATTTTAGATTTGTCGTTTGATTTAATCTCCAAGTGTCAAAAGTTAAAATCTTACAAAAAGAACGTCTTTATTCATTCCAGTTAAAAGTTTTGTGAGTTATTTTGCACACCAACAGGTCAGTGTAATCAAATTGTTCCCCCAGTTCTCCAAACACGGCATCAGGCAGATGGAAAACACACTTTTCATCCATCAAATGAAAAATACTCAAATGAGACGCAGTTTTTGTGAATCTGCTCCGGAGCCGAGTGGCTTCTTTGCTTTGATCCCTTTCTCTGTCCTTGATCAGAACGCAACTTCATTGTAAGATTTTTATTTTTTTTTTAAATCCTCACAAAGAGACGGAACTGACAACTTGTAGAGCTTTTGAACATGCTGTCAGCTCGACTAATACAAGAGCAACATCTCTCTTCAAAACCAAGGTCACGTTTAAACGTACGAGGAACAAACGCTTCTGCCACACCTTTAAAACACCAAACTTTCAGGTCTCCTTAAAAAAAGCTTTTGAAAAGCAAACTTTTTATTTTATTTTTATTTTTTAGAAAAACCCCATTTTGAAAGAATTTTCTGGGAAAAAATTATAATTTTATTTTCTATTCTCTAACACCTTATTCCCTACCTTGTAAGAAAATGAAAACAAATAATAATAAAATAATTTTAGTGCAGTGTTCTTTGGGCCTTCACTGAAATATTTTGCCCTCGCTCTGTTTTCCACCAGCCACAAAAAAAGGTTAAGATATGGTGTTGACAACAAAAAAATGAATACACTTTTTTTTCTGTTTTGTATTAGACAGTTTAAGATTGTGGTCCTTCTATACTCCTCTTTGTAAATGTAAATAAATAAATAAATAAATAAAATTTAAATTAAAAACCTTTTTTTAATGAGAAAAAAATTAAAAGTAGATTACGCTCTTAAACTCAAGATGGGAAAAACATCTTAAACAGGTCAAAGAAACTGGACATACAGGGTTAATCCTGTGAACGTGTGCTTAGGCGTGTCGCGATAAACAAATCAGTTAATCGCATGATAAATGAAAATGATCAACCTCATTTTCACTTCATCGTTTCTTCGTGTCCCTCTCTTTCTATTGAAGACACTGGATGAAAAAACAGCCCCAATGCTCTTCACTGACCCCTCCCTTTATCTTTTCTCTTAAAAATCCAATTTAACCGTCCAAAACCACGTTTTTGGATCGTTAAAAAAAGCTAAGCTGAGAAGCTAAGCTACGAGCTAAGCTAACAGGCCGACCTCGGGTAAAAACTTCCAACTTGTCAAAGCTCCAAAATTCTCGGTCGAAACCCGTGCCTTCGTCTAAAAAGTTGTTTTTCTCTGTAAAAAGAAGCTGAGAACTTGTTTACTGATATTTTTATTAAAAGCTTTATGTGAAAAATGCTATGCTAAAGAGCTCAAACCACACCGAGCGTCCTCCATTTTTAGAACTGAAGAGAAACAACCCATGTCAAATCAAGGGGCCTCCCTCCCATTTTTCTTAAAGAGACACGCTGCTCGCTCCCTCACTATCCATCCTTCAGTTCAAACTGTCTTATACTGCCATCCGGTGGTCTAAAAAAGGTACTACATTCAAAATAATGTATTTGCCCAGTAATAGTGTCTTGCCCAGGGACACTTTGGCATGTGACTGCTGGTGGATTGGAACCCCCAACTCTTGCATTGGAAGACGACTGCTCTAACCACTCAGCCACAGCCGCCCCAAATGCAAATGAATTTAGCCGACTCTGATGAAGAAAATAAAGCTGAGTCCAATACAGCAATGCCCAGAAGTGAAAAGTTAGTAAGTCATTCAAAAAGTTGCATAGCTGATAAAATATAAAACTAAAATTCCTTGAAAGAATGCACGTCGTCAGTCACTATGCGTGCCATAGTTTTAAACAAAGATCTTGGATCTGTTAGCACTCAGAGTATGTGTTGGGGATGACTCTCAACTACTACAGTGCCCAAATTTAGCTCAACATGTGGTAAACTTTCAGAGTTACAACCATTTTCATGTTAAGTTTGATTAGCTGTGGCTGCTATCTCAAACCAAGATGTCTCCAAAAGTTAATCAGTTGTAGTTTCACATCTAATGATACTTTTCTGAGAGTTTTATTAAAATCTATCCAGCGGTTCATGAGATATTTTGCTAACAGACAGACTTAACTGGAGCTAACATTCAATGAAAGTGTTTTGGACAGGGACCTTTTGCAGTCTGTTAATGCTTGGGTTATGCATTTCAGATGACTCTCTTTTACTACCACTTTAAATTTTAGCTAAACACCTTTAAAGCTGACTGATTTATAACCATTTCTGTGTTTTATATAGCTTATTTGATGCGGTGGCCGAGTTTAATGGAGATGACTTCAAAATTTAATCAGTTGTAGATGCGTATCCATTGATTGATTTTTGAGTGTTTCATTAAAAATTGTCCAGTGGTTCACGAGATATTTCACCAACAGACACCTGAACGCACAGGCATTTACAGAAGCGCTTTAGGTTTTCATCCTCAGGCAATAAAAATGAAACTTGCAAAACATTCTGTCACCCAGTCCTTTTACCACAAACTAAATTTCCTCAAATTTCTATTTGTTGCATTCTTCAGATTATACAGACAAAAGAAAAGCCTCAGTGTTTAATGGCAGAGTGGAGCAGTGGAGCAGCGGTCCTTACCAGCAGGTCCACCATGTTGGGTTTGTTGTTCCTCAGCGTCTTGACTGCATGAAAAACATCCACAGAGTGCTGGTGCTGAAGCATCTCACACACGATGCTGATGGCGCAGAACGTCCCGCTGCGCCCGCCTCCGTTCCTGCAACGACGAGGTCACATAAAATATCCTGATGCATGCTCAATAATCCAGGTAGAAAAAAATCTAATACATAAAAGTTTGTTTTGAACCGCACATGGCAACATTCATTCAACCTTTATTTAAACAGGTACATCCCATTGAGCCTCGAGGACTCATTTACAAGAGAGACCTGATAACATGTGACCCGAGGGCCAAAAGTGGCCACTGGGCAATCTTCATCTGGCCCACAATATACTTAACTGCAAAATAAAACAACAAAATAAGTTGAATAAAAACCTGCATTTTATCAGGGAAACTTACAGAAGTCTAAATTGGACATTTGGATTTATAAAAGTCAAATTATATATTTTTTAATGTGGTGATCCATTGTTTTTGTTTTCCAGAACTAGACTGAACCTTAAACATCAAAGCTCGTGCTCAATAATCCAGGTTAAAAAATCCAACAAAGTTCAGTCAGGTCCTCTGGACGGTTTCTTTTTTTTTTTTTTGAGAAGTTGCATCCTTCATCCAAAGGACTTCATCAGTCTGAAGAGCCACAAACACACTCAGTCCCACAAGCAGCACACTCACATAGTGGACCAACAAGTTTGCTGGTGATAAGATGGTTTCTGGGGCCCACACTCTCCCCTTTCAACTCTTCTGAGGCAGCCATGTACAAAGTGGTTCAAATGTCTTTGGATGAAGGACAAAACGTCTCAAAAAAAAAAAAAAAAAAAAGGAACCATCCAGAAGAACCTGACTGAACTTTGTTGGATTTTTTACCTGGATTATTGAGCATGAACTTTGATGTTTTGAACCACTTTGGCTATGGCTGCCTCAGAGGAGTCGAAGGGGACTCCAGAAACCATCTTATCACCAGCAAACTAGTTGTCCCACCATGTGAGTGTGCTGCCTGCGGGACTGAGTTTGTTTTGACTCCTCGGACTGATTAAATCCTTTGGATGAAGGATGAAATGTCTCAACAAAAAAAAAAAAAGAAAGAAAAAGAAACCGTCCAGATGACCTGCCTGAACTTTGTTGGATAGAACGTTAAAGGTCCACTATGAGAGTGTGCTGCTTGTGGGACTGAGTGTGTTTGTGGCTCCTTAGACTGATTAAATCCTTTGGATGAAGGATGAAACGTCTCAACAACAAAAAAAGAAACCGTCCAGATATCCTGCCTGAACTTTGTT